CTCTCTCTCTCTCTCTCTCTCTCTCTCTCTCTCTCTCTCTCTCTCTCTCTCTCTCTCTCTCTCTCTCTCTCTCTCTTGTAACATGTACCTACAGCATTTGACTTCTGTACTAACAACACATAGTAATCTTGAGACGACATCATTCTTGTTTAGTATGCTGCAGCAGCCTTGCTACCAGTTGACTAATCATCAAACTCTTTTTTTCAGATTTGTCAAGTGGTCTCGTAACAGTGTCTAGCTGTGTGACAAGTGCAGTGCCACCTCATACTCCTGCCACTCCTCTCACACCCATGATGAGTCCATGCCCCCCTGTAATGTCGCAAGCTGCCAGACCTGAGGGTCAGACCATCACAGTGACACTACCTGTCACGCCACTCACAACCGGCGATCCTATGGTAGATCAGAGGAGACACTGGTGGCATATTGAAGAGGTGAATTCTTACTGCATAGTCAGCGTACCCAGCTCTCTAGAAATGTGCGTTACCCATATCTGTACAGTCCAAAATGCATGTATTTATTGTAGTTTGCATTTGAATTTTCCAAGATGCTTTTAGCAAGAATGCCCTTGTTGCCTTGTACTACAGAGCATTAATTTTCAAAATGGATACAATTACATATCCCTATCAATAGTCAGTAGAAACAATTGTCAAAGAAAACATAATGTATGAAGATGTACTTATCTAGACCTGTACAGGTAAGTTGTTGTTATACTTTTATGCAGAGGTTCATAAACTGTATCACACTTTTAATTCTGACCACACGTTGATTTTGTCCTTTTACCTGTAGATGGCGAACTCTTTGTTGAATACAGCTCAGCAGTTGAAGGGAATGATAGAACATGCCAAGCTGCAGGCAGAGGCTGCTAAGGATGCAGCCATAACTCAAGTTAAACTACAGGCAGAGGCTGAGAAGAAAGAGGTTAGTAAGCAGGAAACATTTCTTGTATTTTTGCAGATCATTGTTCCCAGACAAACAGTTCTTTTCTTTGTTTGTTTGTTTGTATGGTGCTTATCACAGTTGTTGGTTGTTTGGTGACGTGTGTAAATTAAACACCCGTGTTAAACAAGTTGCTTACTTGCTCTAACAGAAATCAACCGCATGTCATTCGTTTCAACCACTTCTCTTGCAGTTTTTCAAGTTTTAAAAGTGCATGCACATGTATGCTTGTGTTACTCAACAATTTGTTCAAGAAATTAAAACTTGAAATTCATTTATATTGGTTTCTAAATTTGTATTAGTAGTAAGTTGTAGATACACAGCTAGTAGTTGTAGATACACAGCTACTACTAATATGTATACCTGATTGCAAGATGTGTGAAACATTGATTGTTCTTTGCTTGTATGTCTTCATAGGCCTTGGCACAAGCTCGCATGAACTCTCTGATGCAGTTATCTCGTGCGTTAAATGATGCAAGAGTGGAGAAGGAAGCTGCCATTGCTCAAGCTGTAGCACATGCCAAAGCTGAGAAAATGGAGGCTGTTGCTGATGAACGCCAGGAGCAGCTTATTAAGGTAATAAGTTAAACATAATGTGAGTGTGATGTACATGTAGTGAGTTGTGCGGCCTTGACTTCCTGCATGCTTGACTTGAAGTGTCTCCCTTTTTCTTAAAACAAGACATGCAAAGAGTACATGCATTATGCCTGCCAACTTTTTCTAAATCATAGACGTGACATTTTCCAGTCCCAGGCCTGGGCAGGGCTCAAAAGTTTTTCTTAAGTTTCTCTAGCCATGGGCTAGCTGGTATTGCCACTTGACTCCCATCGCTGACTGGTGTTATTACTTTCACAGTCCCTCAATGGTGGTGAAAGTGAAATTTCCATGGAAGAAGATCCCTCTGTTGTTGAAGAAGGAGAAAAAAATGGTGTGGAATAGGACAAAAACAGAGGGTGCAAAGCTGGATTTCAACTGAACTGAGATGCCTCTTGTCAGGTTCTCTTAAGTGAAGACCAAGCTGTCAGTTGGAGCTTGGGTGAAGAGTGTAATTGATACCTGTGCAGACTTCACAGGTTGACAAAAGATGCATCTTCACCTCTTTGAACTCATTACTGTCATTTTCTCTCGTTGTTGTCTTGTATGGCATGTGTTTTACACAAGACTTTGTAATTTTACCTTCATACAGATCTGATTAATGTATTTGTTGTTGTTTGGCTATAAATGTTGACATTCGAAATACAGGAGACAAACCGGCATTGGATCTGCATTTCCTCTTGGCTACTGAAGTATTTGTTTGAGTTCTTTCCACAGAAGCAAACATCTCATTGTAGTATGTCGGTTTTATATAAAGATGATATATTCTTGTGACATGATGTAAATTGTGCTATACATTCAAGTATGTTTGTAAAAGAAAGTCACGTGATCTTTACCTTTTGACATTGTTGCCTAATCTTTGTGATGTTTCACCCAACGGGGATCATGAAAAGTTGTTGTTACTGTTAACAAGTCCCTCTCAACCTTTAGGCGGCCATTTTTGAGGCACTCTTGCAAATGCTGCACAGGAATTTTAATTTGTGCTTTTCCATTCTCTGCTGTTACTGGTCGTCGTGCTCACTAGCAAGCGTTACGTGATCTCGCGAAATCTCTAATGTTCGGTCTCTCATAATTCAATGAGAGATTAGAAGTAAGTAAGAAGAATGCCCATGAAGCTAAAAACCGGGCGGGTCAGGCTTTTGAAACTTCTGTTTGAAGAACGTTTAACTCTGCTCCGCTAGATTACACGTTTCTCAGAGAGACATTCGTTACGTGATTTGTGTTAAAAAA